CTCATTCGCGCCTACAACGCCGCCGCGGACGCGAAGACGCGCGAGGGCGACGGCGACGGCGCGGTGCGCTTCCTCACGAGCGCGCTGGACGTCGCGAGGAAGGAGGGCGAGAGCGACGGCGGCGTGCTCTTGGAGGCGGACGCGAACTACCGGTTGGGACTCGCGCTCGCGAGGATCGGCGAGCACGCCGCGGCGTTGGAACGCCAGGACGACCACCTGACACTGTGTGCGCGGAAAGCCTCCCCCGTCGACGCGGTGGGCGCGGGGAAGGCGCGACGCGCGCTCGCGGCGTCGCGGCTCGCGATGCGCGACGCCGCGATCGCGAGCGGCGAGACGGCGGCGGCGGAAGCGCATCAGAGGGAAGCGGCGCGATGCCTCGAGTTTTTTCTGGACGGGGAGCCGCCGGATAACGGCGGCGGCGGCGGCGGCGGGATGAGCGCGATCCTCCTCGCGAAAGCGCGCGAGGCGGAGACGGAGGAGGAGAGCGGAGGCAAGGGCGTCGTGAGGGACCCGGGCGCGGACGCGCGGGCGTGGTGCACGCTCGGGAAGATTCGAAGCGCGGAGGGCGAACACGCCAAGGCGGCGAGTTGTTTCGAAAAGTTTTTTGAGCTCGCGCGCGGGCTGAGCGACCAGTGGTTGCTCGACGTCGCGCGGATAAACCTCGGGATCGCGCGCGGGAAGGTGAAGCAAGAGAAGTTCATGAGCACGGTGCTTCACGCGGGGGAGGATGGCACGAAGGAAGGGAGCGAGGCGTTGGGGAACTTGTTGAGCTGGAAAGTCGCGCGCGCGTGACGACGGGAGGCGACGGTCCGTCGCGGACGACGCGTTCCTCCTCCTCCTCCTCCTCCTCCCATCGTAGCGCACACTAGCAGCGGTCGCTCGCTCGCGTCTGATAGCATTGGATTCGCACGATGCGCCTAAGACAAACAAACTACTCGTGTTCTCTGCTGTCATCTATCTCACCGTGGCGAACTGCCCAAACTCCGGGGTCGCGAAGGATATCCCGCGTCCCATCAACGCCGTCGGGTCCGTCCGCGGTCCGAATATCTTCATCTGCCTCACGTGCGTGTCCCTTCCGTTCTGGTGGTTCGATAACACCGCGATCTGAAGAAAGAACGCGCGCAGGCATTCGCCGTCGTCGCCGCCGCCGCCGTCGTCGCCGTCCCCCCCCACCCCCCCCCCGCCGCCGCCGCCCGAATCGTCTTTCGCGAGAGACACGTGCATCCACCCCCCCGGCTCCTCCAAGTCCACGACCTTGATCTCCCGCAGGTCGTGGAACGAGTTCCCCGCCCTGATGCTAATCTTCGACGGCGTGTACGACTCGTCGAGCGCGTACTTGGCGTACAGCGCGAGCTCGCGCAGGCGAACCTTCTTTTGAAACTGCACGTTGACGAGGTGGGGCTGCGCGCCGTCCGATTGCCAGTACGTGTCCAGGCAGTCGTCGCGCAGGAGCTCGACGCCGTTCCCAGGCTTCGCGGACGTCACGGACCACACCGCGAGCTTGCCGATCTCGCTGTGCCCGGGGCGCGCGATGCCGTCGCGCTGCTCCGCTTTCGCGCCCACTTTCGCTGCGACGACGGCGGAGGGATGATGACCGTCGGCGGACGAAGAGAAGAGGTGGAGGAAAAAAAAGGCATCGGACGACGGGTGCCGAGATCTCGCGCGGGGCGCGCGGCGACGCCGTGCGCGACGCGGGGGACGGCGCGCGAGGGCGAGAGTGGGGGCGGTGACGTGCGACGCACCCTTCGGCGCCGCGGCGACTTGCGCGTCCGCCGCCATCCCGTCGGGAGCGCGCGCGGAGGGAAGTGGCGCCCCGGGCGAAAAAGCTCTCGGCTGCGTTCGGTTCGTTTGAACGCCACGAGAAAAAAACTCCGACTCACTTCCCCCCGCACCCGCCACGCTCCCTTCTTCGCGCGCGCCATCACATCATGAAGACCCGCGCCGCTTCGATCCGCGACCGCGTCGGTCCGTTCGACGACATCTCCGAGGATCTCGCGTGCCTCGTGCTCGCGCGCGTCGACGACGTGAAGTCCAGATACGCGCTCGCCGCGACTTCGAAAGTGTGGAAGGACGCGTCGACGCGAGAGGAGAGCCTTCCCCCCGCGGACGTCATGATAGGCTTCGCTCGCGAGTGCGAAGGCGCGGAAGAGACCGTCGAATGGTTGAAAAAAGCCACCGCGAAGTGCAGCCCGGAAGCGACGTACCGCCTCGGTATGGTGTACTTGCACGGCGAAAGCTTCCCCGACGGGTTCTACAAAAAATACTCGAACCCTCTTGTCGGGTTCGAACTCGTGAGAGCGTCCGCAGAGGCGGGGTTCGAGCGCGCCGTGCACCACGTCGGCGTATGCTACCTGTGGGGTATCGGCGTGGAAGAGGACAAATGGATGGCAACGCAGTGGTTTCTGAAACTAGGGACGGCGCTCCAAGGCAAGGGTGTGTACGAGCTCGGTACTCTGCTCTTACGCGGCGAAGGCGGCTTCACGAAAAATCACCAGTTGGGGTGGAGGCTGTATAAGGAGGCCGCGAAGCTGGGATGCGCGGACGCCGCGTGCGAGCTCGGGATCTGCTACTGGTACGGTAGTTACTATCAAGTTAACCGTACAAAGGCGGAAGAGTATCTCCTATTCGCGGCGAAAAACGGAAGCTGCGAAGCAGCCTTGGTGGCGGAAGAACTCGGGCTCTGCGACGGCGACGTCATGGCCCAGTGCGAAGCGGCGCTCAAGGCGTCGACCGCGTGGGGGAAGCTTTGAGAACGACGACGACGACGACGGCGACAACAACTCACATGTTGTTTACACCTACACGCGCGCATCTAAACAACGTCACACTACGCATCAAAGCATCACATCGTCGTATCGTACATCGACATCCCCCGCCCCCCGAGGATGTTTCGGTTATTCTTTATTCGTCGTCGTCGTCCTCCACCTCCAAGTTCTCCTCTTCGGCGTCGCGGCCGCGCGCCGCCAACCGCTCTTGCATCGACACCGTCGTCTGCCGCAGCCGCAGGTACTGCTCGCGCGCCTCTTGCGACTTCACGATGGCTTGGATGCGCGACACCGCCTGCTTGACGTCCTGGTGGTTCACACCTTCCTCCTCCTCCTCCTCGTCGTCGTCGTCGTCGTCGTCGTCGTCGTCGTCGCTCTTCGCCTTGGTCGCGTACTTCCCTCTCGCGCCGATGGCGCGCGGATTGTATGCCCCGGCGACGACGTCGACGTCTTCCTCCTCCTCCTCGTCGTCGTCTTCCATGTCGTCGTCGATGGTGTCGTCGACGTCGCCGTTGACGTCGCCGTTGACGTCGAACGCGCCCGCGTCCGCGTCCGGCGCTCGGATCGGGCTCTTCTTCATCGGCGACTTCGCGGGCGAGCCGTCGCGCGGCGTCGTCGGGTTCGAGCCGCCGCCGCCGCCGCCGCCTCTGACGTGCCGTGTGAGATCCCCGGAGGAGAGACGCGCGAGACCCCACTGCTGCGCGAGGTGCGACGACGACACGAGCTGCATGATGTCCCCGGCCGGGTGCCGCCGCCGCGACGCGTTGGCGCGCGACTGCATCGTGTTGTACCGCCGTTGCATCTGCGCGCCGCGGAGGGTGCCCTGCAACGCGATGATGCGCTCTTGGAGCTGCGAAATCGTCGACGCCGGTCGACGGTCCGCCGCCGCCGGCGGCGCCGGTGGCGCGACGTCCGCCGCCGCCGCCGTCGCGACGTCGCTACGGCGGCCTCGCTTCCCGAGATCGACCGCCTGCGTCTTCGATCCGGGCCCGTCGCCGCCGCCGCCGCCCGCGTTCGACGTCTTGCTCTGCTGCAAACTTCGAAGCGACGACGTGATCTTCTGGGCGGCTTTTTCCGCCTTCTTCACCACCTTTTTCACGTCGCGATCGCTGTCGTGCTCCGCAACGAGACCCGGCTCCTCTCCCTCCTTGACCGGCCCCAAGGACCCGTCCGTCCTCCTTCGAAGCTTCCGCCGTCGCATCGCGTCTTTTCGGTACGCCAACGACGTGATCATCTCCGGGTGCGTCATGAGACCCTTCGTGTCGTTTCCGCCGCCGCCGCCGCCGCCGCCGCCGCCCTCCGCCTCCGTCTCCAGCTCCGTGTGGCTCGTAAAGTCCGTCGCGGTGACTTCCGTCTCCGTCGCGAGCAGCAACCGCACGGGCGCGATCGGCGGTTTCGCCAGCCGCCCGCGCCGCGCCGCCGCCACGGGCGTCGGCACGTCCGACACCATCGGCGTCGTGACCCCTCCGAGCCCCAGCGGTCCGCCGACGGCGCCCGCGGACGGCGCGCCCCCCGCGAACGCCGCCGCGTCTCTGGGATGCGCCGCCTTCTTCGCCTTCCACGGCACCCTCAACTGCGACCCGGCGTTTCCTAGCATCGGCCCGTGCCGACGCGCCGCGGTCGGGCCGCCGTACAGCGAAATGTTCGAGAGGCTCGCCGCCAGAGACGTCTCAGGGTCGTTCCATACGAAGCGAAGTCGGGGTGGAGTTGAAAGGCGTCAGAAGCGGAATTGAAAGGCGTCGAGGTCGGGGATTGAAAGCGTGGGACCCTGGGCGGAGAGATGCGCCGGGAAAAGTCCTTAAGGATCGGCGTTCACCACGGCGACGGGGTCGTATGGGAACCAGTGTGTAGAACGCACCTCAGAGATGTACGCTGCGATGCCGCCGTGGCCGAGCGCGGCTGCGAGGTCCGCGGCGGTGTACCCGCCCGCGCCCCACCGCGCGGTCGCGCGGATGTTCGCACCCTCCGCGAGCAAACACGCGACGGTGTCTTCGTGGCCTTTCGCGGCGGCCCAGTGCAACGCCGTTCGCGCGCGTCGGTCCGGTTGGTTCACCTCGCAGCCGGTGCGAACCATCGCTGGAATCGCCCAGCTCATCCCGAGCGCGGCGACGCAGTGGATTAAACCCATCCCGCCGCTGTCTATGCGGTGATACGCGCTTCGAGGGAGCACGTACCCGGGGTTAGGGACGACGCCGGTCGTCACGACGCGGTGACGCTTCGCTTCCGCGGAGATGGCGTGGCGCAGGCGCGCCTCGAGCGCGGTTTTAAACACGCGCGAGACGTCCTCGTCGGTGAGGTCGTCGGCGGCGCCCGGAGAGGCGGAGAAGAGCGACGCCAGCGGGTCCGCGAGGGACGTCCCGGGGGACGCGAGCGCGGCGACGGATTTGCGCGCGAACGACGCGCCCGGGTTCGGGTTCGGGCTCGGGTTCGCGGGCGCGGGCGTGATGTTCGCCGAGGCGCCGGGCGCGCCGCCGCCGTCGTTGCTGCTGCCGCCGCTGCCGCTGCCGCCGCCGCTGCCGCCGTTGCCGCCGCCGCCGCCGGCGGCGCTGTCGTTGCCGCCGCCAGATCCGGATCCGCCGCCACCGCCGCCACCGCCGCTGCCGCCGCCACCGCCGCCGCCACCGCCGCCGCCGGCGCTGCTTCGGTCCCTCACCGAGCTCCTGTCCGCGCCGATGAGCAAGTGCACGAGCCGCAGCTGGAAATCCCGCTCGGTGACGCCCGTCGTGAGGCGCACCTCCGCGGTCCGTCGATCCTTCGCGCCGCCGCCGGAGGTTTCCTTGTACTCGAACGTGCGGATGTCCGACGCCGGGCGCTTCCCGCCGCCGAGGCACGAGATGTACAAGGGCACGCGCCCCGCGCTGCGCGGCGGCGCGCGGCATCGCAGCACCCCCGGCGAGATTTGCTCCGCGGGAACTTCGATCTCGCCGAACACGCAGCACAGGTGCAGCCCCTCCGGAAGCCCAGGGCGCGCGGCGCCGGAGATGATCACCTTCGCGCCGCCGCTCTCGACGTCCCACTCCGGAGAGAAGTCGTGAATCTCCCACAAGATCGACGACGTGGGCGGGACGGTGACGATCGGCGCGCGCGCGCGCGCGGACCGCTGCGCGAATTGCGCCGCTTGCGCCGACGACGCGCGCATCGCCGCCGCCGCCATCCCCGGGGACGGCGCGCGGTCGTCCGCGTCGGTCGCGCCGTCGTCCATCTCCGAGCCGCTCTGCGACACGCCGCGCGCCGTGGACGCGATCGGCACGGGCGGCGCCGCGTGCCTGGGCGGGTAGCTTCGTCGGTTCGCCGCGCCGCCGGGCCGTCGCGTCGCCGCCGCCGCGCTCTTCAACGGCGACAGCAAGCCCTCGTGGGGGTCCTCGCCGTCGTCCCCAGATTTCTCCGCGTCGTCGTCGTCGTCGTCGTCCTCTTCGTCCGCGCCGCCGCTATCGCCGCCGTCGTCGTCCGCGTCCCATCGCATCGGCGGCGGTTTTCTCTGCGCGACCGCTCTGTGCCCGCCGCCGCCGCCGCCGTCGAACGACCGTCCGCGGCGGTGGTGCTCGGCTGAACGTCGGGGTGGAGTTGAAAGGCGTCAGTCGGAGTTGAAAGGCGTCGAAGGCGGGGATTGAAACCGAGGGGTGGGCGGAGAGAGACGCCGGCAAAAGTCCTTAAGGATCGGCGTTCACCACGCCGACGCGGTCGTATGGGGACTAGTGTAACCAGAACGCACCGCCGTCTCCTCCTCGCCCGAACAGCTTCCTGCTTCCCCGCCCGGGCCCGCCGCCGCCGCTCCCGCCACCGGTTCCGGACCCGCTCCCGATCGCGCGTGGCATCATCGCCTCCGCGCCGCGCTCGAGCGCGATGAGGTCCTCCTCCAGACGCGCCACCTGCTCGACGTTCGTGTGCACCGCGTTGGACGCGACGCGAAGCAACGTCTGCTGAAGATCGGCGATTTTTCCTTCGATCTGCGTCAACGACGTCACCCCGCGCATCGCGCTCGAGCGGTCGGCCCCGCGCCCGGACAGGTCGTCCGCGGACGACGAAGGCGCTGGGGTCGGGGATAAGAACGACGTCGTGATGTCCGGCCCCGCGGCGGCGGCAGCCTCCGCCGCCGCCGCCGCGAGCGGGTGCGGCGGCGGCGCTTGGCCGTGGCCGGGCGCGCCGACGCCAAGGCTGCCGGCGATCGTTCCGCTGTGCACGCTGTCCTCCCCGGGCGCGGACGGCAGCCCGGTGAGACCGCTCACGCTCAGGCTCAGCCCGGAGTCCCACGATTTCTGTCGCATGTTGTCGCTCCCCGGCGGCGGCGGCGGCGGCGCGTTCCCTCCGCCTTCGTACCCGATCTCATTCATGAGGTACTGGTGCAGCTCGTTCGGTCGTCCTTGACCGCCGCCGGGAGCGCCCGCGCCGCCGTGCGGGGTGCCGAGCTCCATGTCGCTGTCGCGCAGGAGCTCCTCGAGCTCCGGGTCGTTGACGCCGTACTCGTCGTCGTCGCCGGTGCCGACGCCTCGGCCGCTCCACCACCGGTCGACGTTAGCCGGCGGATCGTTGGTTATGGGTCTGCCGAGCCGCGCGTCGTGCATCTGCATCTGCGCCGCCGCGCGCGCGGCGGCCGCCGCGGGCGAAGACGCGTACACGCTCGTCCCGCCTTGATGCGAGGCGTACGCGTGTCCAACGCGTCCGCCGAACCCGCCGGCGCCGCGCATCTGAGACACCGTCGGCGAAGACCCCGCGCTTCGAATCATCAAATCCGACTCGTCGATCTCGATGTCCGAGTAGCCGCCTCTGGAGCCGAAGGCTCCCCCTGAGGTGCCGCCGCCGCTGATGGTGCCGCTGAAGGTGCCGCTGAGGGTGCCGTACAGCCCGCTATCGGTGGTCCCGCCCGAGTCGCCGCCGCCGAATAAATTCTGAAATCCGTGCCCCGGATACGCCCCCGCCGGCCAATTCGACAGATCCCCGCCGTGCCCGCCGCGCTCGGTCTTCATCCCGGGCGTGACTTTCAGGTAGTGCACGAGCACGACGCCCTCGTCCGAGTTTAGGAGCCAGTAGCATCGGCGTTGAAACGTCCCGTCCGACGCGTGATGGGCGTAGTAGCATCTTCAGCTTCTCGTGCGTCTCCCGCACGGTCTTGCCGTCTTTCTTCTTCTGCCACTCGTGCCCGTCCTTGCGGAAGAATCGCACGACTTTGCGATCGAACAGGAACAGCGATCCGGCTGCGAGATCGCGGTGACGGTGGAAGGAGGCGGGAGGAAGGGAGGCGAGTCAAAAACTCCGAATAATCTAACAAAAAAAAAGGGTTCGGCGAATCTATGCACGCGCGGAGATCTGACGACGCCGCGGAGGGAAGAAGCGACGGCGCGCACCCGACGGCTGGATCGGCGCGTTCGGGCTCAGCACGAAGTCGTACGCCCTGTGGTTCAGAAGGATATCGCAGACTTCCGTGTTCTTCAGCCATCGCGTCTGCGACTGCTGAAGAAGCGCGATGATGTGCGCTCGCGAGGCGCCGTCCGCGCCCATCGGAGACGGGGGCGTGAGCACGATCGCCGCGGGGCTGTACCCGTCGCCGCCGCCGCCTTCGTCCATGAGCGTCGAGGTTCGGCCTCCGCTGCCGCTGCCGCTGCCGCTCATCGTGACGCGCGAGGACGCGCGCGAGCCGCGGGGACCGGGGTGACCAGCGCCGACGGCGCGGGCGCCGCAAAAATGACAGGGCTGCCGAGCGCGAGCCGAGTCAGATGCTGACAGAGCTGACGGACAAAATCTGTACGACGAAATTCGATTCTGAAATTCGATGTGAACTCGATGTTACTTCGCTCGCCTCACGCCTCGCCTTCCATCTCTCTTCCGAGCCGCATCTGCCTCCACACCTCGGCGACGAACGCGTCGCCGTCGCCCGCGGGATTATACACCCCAGCGCGGTCAAACGAAGGCTCGCCGCCCGCGCCGCCGCCGCTCCGTCGCGCGCCGTCGCCGCCGAACGCGCGTTCCCGCTGCGCGCGATACACGGCGTCCAAAACCTCGCGCGCCTTGAACGTCGCGTCGACGCCCCACTGGGAATCGCCGGGGACGTAACGACCCACCGGCGCGGTCGCTTGCATCTCGAGCGTCTTTTGGATCGTTGCCGCGGCCGCGGAGGCGGCGGCGTCCTTGACCGCCGCGCGCTGCTCCGGCGTCTGCGGCGAGAGAGAGAGGAGGGAGGGAGGACGCGTGAGCGACGCGCGTCTTACGGTGATCGACGCGGAACGGGAGTTTCGATCGCGTCGCGTCGACGACGCACCGTGGCGCGCTGGTACGCCGCGGTCGCGGCGTTGTTCATCGCCGCGGCCACCTTGGACGCGATCTGCGCGCTTCCCGCGATCGCTTCCAGCTCGGACGGCGTCGGCTGTGTCGTCGCGAGGTCGGAGAGGTCGAACCCGGCGGGGTCGGCGTCAGGGTCGTTCTATACAAGCGAACGTCGGGGTGGAGTTCATAGGCGTCAGTTTGAGTTGAAAGGCGTCGCGGGCGGAGATTGAAAGCGAGGGCTGGGTGCAGAGATGCGCCGGGCAAAGTCCTTAAGGATCGGCGTTCACCACGCCAACGCGGTCGTATGGGAACCAGTGTATAGAACGCACCTCAGTCTCGGCGGCGGGCGCGGCGGCGGCGTCGCCGGCCACCTCCGCGAGCGCGTCGAACCCGCTCTCTGCCGCGCTCGCGGCGCCCGGCGCGGTCAGGGATAGGATGTCGTCGCTCAGCTCGAGCGCGTCGACGACGCTCTCGCCGATGACTGGCCGGGAAGGGCCGAAGGACGCGCGGTCGCCTTCGCGGCCGCGGCGGAGCCACCTCGAGAACCCTCGGGGCGTGAAACCGTCGCCGTCGCCTTCGCCGGCGTCCGGGTAGTCGCGGTCCAAGATGGGCGCGTAGAGATCGTTCACCGCGTCGCGGACCTCGTCGCTCGCGATGCGCTCCGCGCGGCGGCGCGCGTCCTCGATGAACGCGCTCGCGTCGCCGATGTCCTGCGTCGTCGGGTCGAAGATAGGCGTCGCGAGCGTCGGCGACGACGCCGGCCCCGCGGCTTGCTGCGCGACGACGACGTCCGCGTCCGCGTCCGCGTCCGCGTCCGCGTCGCGGAGGATCTGCGCGGGCGCGGCGCGGCCGCGGGCTCGGCCGCGACCGCGGCGCGCGCCGTCTCTCGGCGGCGCCGACGCCGACGCCGACGCCGCGGGGCCCGCGGCGACGAGGTCCGCGCCGAGGGCGAGGAGGACGCACGACGCGAGGAAGAGACGCATGGCGTGCGCGCGGGCGCGGTGGAGTGACGACGCGCGATGCGAACGCTTCGACGCGCGTCAGGCGAACGTTCGATGGCGCGAGGGCGGGCGCGAGACGGCATCGGGCCGTCGCACGCGCGACCGCCTCTGCGTGGAAGGCGAAGAGGCGGCCCAGCCAGGCTTTTCCCCAGCTTTTCCCGCGCGAACAGAACTATTCGTAAAAGAGAACCCTAACGCCCCTCGCCACTTCAGCGCGCGCCTCCGCCGCGTCCGTCATGGAAACCCGCGCGCGATCGAACGCGCGTCTCGCGCTCCTTCCCCCGGATCCCGACGCCCCCAGCCTGCGCGTCGACGGCGTCGTCGCGTGCGCCATCTTGAAGCGCGTGCCGAACGTCCTCGACAGGCTCGCGCTCGCGGAGGCGAGCAAAGTCTTCTGGGAGGCTTCGAAAGAGGCCGCGTCGTTGCCCGACGCGCTCGACTTCACCGACGGCTCGGACGACGCGCGACTTAAACGACACGACCGACAGCTCATCGGCGGAGATCGCCTCGACAGACTGAGATACATCCTCAACATCAACGGCGTGCTGAGAGAAGAGTGGCGCGACGAGCCGACCGACTACCTCTTCCCTCACTTGGGCCTATGCGGCGACGCCAACGAGAGGAGTTACTCTTATGACATGGGGTTTCTCTGGCGAGACATGTTGGAAATCGCAGACGATGATTTCCAGGACACGCCTTCGGAGGGTATTGAATGGCTCCAAAAAGCTGCGAGCATCGGCAGCAACGATGCTAAGTACTTCCTCGGTCAGATCTACTTGAACCGGTACTTCGACCTTCGTAACGCCGATATTGAAGAAGCGATAAAGTGGTTTCGCATGCACGCAGAGTGCGGTGGCCCTTACTTGGATGATGAACACGATCCCAGCGATGGGGCCGAGCAGCTCTGCCTTATTCACTGGGGGCGCGAGGAGTTCGAAGACGCGTTCAAGTGGGCTTCGATAGCCTTCGACCCGGGCGGCGGCAACCTCGATGCGGCGTACGTGGTCGCTCGGTGCTACGCACAGGGCCTCGGCGTTAAGAAAGACGAAGTGAAGGCGGTCGAGCACTATCACGCGGTGGTCGAATACGAGACCTCTGATTTTTTTGCCTACGCCGCACTTGAGCTAGGTAACGCGTACGAATCCGGCAAGGGCGTTCGGAAATGTGTTCCAACGGCGATCGAATACTACAAAAAGGTTGTCTCTCACGACGGATTAGCCGTCGATGGGGCGCGCGACGCCCTCGCAGCTCTCGGCGTCGACGCATAGTCCACCCACGCGCACGATCCACGCGAACGAACGACGACACGAACGATGCATATACGCTACCTACGCTGCAATACGATACTACTACATGCTCAAACTACGCTCATCAAACTACGTGCACGCGGCGCTCACCGCCTCCACGGCGCCTGCTCCATGACCTCCCCGAACGCCTCCGTCTTCGCGCACCCGGCGCGCTCCACGAACAACGCCTTCACGATCGTCCGCTCCCCCTCGCTCCCGCTCACGACCCTGTGCCTCGCGCCCTCGGCTCGAAACAGCAGCAGCGAGTTCGCCGGCGGCGTGATCGCCCGTCGCGCGCCGTCCGACCCCACCCACTCCGTCTTCGCGTCGGACGAGTTTGTTGCCGTGTAGATCAACTCTTAGGGTCGTTCCATACAAGCGAACGTCGGGGTGGAGTTGAAAGGCGTCAGGTGGAGTTGAAAGGCGCCGAGGGCGGGGATTGAACGCGAGGGGTGGGCGGAGAGAAACGCCGGGAAAAGTCCTTAAGGATCGGCGTTCACCACGCGGACGGGGTCGTATGGGGACCAGTGTATAGAACGCACCGTATTGCGGCGGGTCGTACAGCCGCACGTCCGTATGCCACCCCATGCTGGATCCGACGCGGTACAGACGCACCTCCACCGGGTAGTCCCCAAGCGCGAGGCTCTCGCACGACGTCAGCTGTCGGAGTTTGGACAGCGCGGGCGCGGACGCGAAGGCGGCGTACGCCGCGGACGTCACCGGCGCCGCCGCGGAGAGCCGCCCCACCGCGACGGAGTGGTCGACGCGGAGTTTCGATCGCAGCTTTACGCACGCGGCCGCGACCGCGTCGCGGGCGTCGTCCGCGAGGAAGTTCGGGACGTACCACACGCGCGCGGCGGGGTCGGCGTGCGGCGCGGCGGGGTCGACGGCGACGAAGGTTTGCGGCGCGGACGTCGAGGGAGAGGAGGAGGATCCGGAGGATCCGGAGGTGCCGTCGTCGGAGGGCGAGGAGGACGCGGGCGCGACGACGCGGCGTCGTCGTCGCGGCGTCGCTCCGCGCGGCGCCGCGGGGTTCGAGGCGCCCCTTCGCGCGCGTCCGCGGCGCGGCGCGAGGTCGACGCGACCCGACGTCTGCGCCGCCATCATCGAACGAGACGCGCGCGTCGCGAAGTGGCGTGGCGGGACAACTAACAATGCCTGGTACATGGGACTCCGATTTCCGTCGTCGCTCGCAGCGCCGTCGCCGATAGCCGAGGTCGGCCGTCGTCGTCGTCGCGTGCGCGTTCACCGAAGCTCGGCCACAGCACGCCGCGCGCCCGACGCGCCCTTCGCGCGTCTCACCCGACGCACCCCGCGGACGTCGCGATCCCGCGGTCCGCACGCGCGATCGAGCGCTCGTGATCAGGTGCGCGTCCTCGCCGCTCGGCCTGATGGACGGCGGGGTTTTTAGAATCCTCAATCAATCCTTCTCCTCTCGTCGCTGCACACTGGTGGTTTCTCTCGCGGCCGTCGCTCGCGATCCCTCCCCGCCTCCGCCGCCTCCGCGTCGCGCGCGCGCGGAATGAGAGGACGATGATCAACGTTTCCTGTGGTATTTGAATCAAGCGCTCGCGCGCTTTGAAACTATCGAAACGACTGACTCTCAACGCGACGCCGCGCGCGATCCTTCCTCGACGGAGGGAGGCCGCGCGTCGCGTCGCCGCGGCGATTTTATCGGTCCGCGTCGTCGCCCGCGCCCGCGCGTCGCCGCGGTCGTCCCACCGTTTCGGTGATGAATACGTTAAACTTTCGTTCTACCTAGGTCCGTGACAATGCGGAGAAACATCACCTTGGAGAACTGAGAAACGTGGGACGACTCGCGCGCGCGCGCTCGTCCGTCCGTCCGTCCGTCGATCCCCCGACCCGTCGCGTCGTCGCGCGTCGAACGCGTGCGGTGCATTCTCTTGATGCAAACACCTTCGCCGAGTTCTCGTGCGGATAAACTTGCGTTTGGAGACCTGAGCTGAAGAATGCATTCGACGCCACGACGGCGACGACGCCACGACGTTCAGCGAACGTCACCACCGACGCGCCGCGCCGTCGATCCTCGAAACCTGACCTTCGCTCCCCGCTCTCATCCATCCTTCCAGAAGATCGGTTTCGCGCTCGAGAGGGAGAAAAAAAAAAAAAATCGAAATCGAGCTTCGCCGCCGCCGCCAGCCTTCATCATGGGCGTCATCATGTCGCGGCTGTACTCAGCCATGGGCGACCAAGAGGCGCGCATCCTCGTCCTCGGCCTGGACAACGCGGGCAAGACGACGATCCTGTACCGACTCCAAGTCGGCACGGTCGTGTCCACGATCCCGACGATCGGATTCAACGTCGAGACGGTGACGTACAAGAACATAAAATTCCAAGTCTGGGACTTGGGCGGCCAGAGCAGCATCCGGCCGTACTGGCGGTGTTACTACCCGAACACGCAGGCGATCGTCTACGTCGTGGATTCGTCCGACGTGGAGCGCGTCGGGACGTCGAAGCAGGAGTTTCAGGCGATAGTAGAGGAGGAGGAGCTGAGGGACGCGACGATTTTGGTGTACGCGAACAAGCAAGACGCGCCGGGGGCGTTGGACGACGCGCAGATCGCGGAAGGGTTGGGCCTCCACGAGATCAAGAATCGAAAGTGGGCCATCTTTAAGTGCTCCGCGACGAAAGGCGAAGGGCTGTGGGAGGGGATGGAGTGGCTCGCGAACGGGTTGAAGAGCAAGCAGAAGGGCGGCGGGTCGTCGTGGTTCGGGGATTGGAGCTCGTGGGGGTGGTCGTCGTCGAAATAGCGTCGGCGATTATGGCGGCGGGCGCTCGCTCGTGTAAGAAACACCAACGCGTCATGTCATCACAAAAACGTGTCGGCCACGGCGGGCGCGGGGGCGTACGGCCCGACGTCGTCGCCGAGCAACGCCGCCGCGGCGGCCAACTCGGCGTGAATCGCCCTCGGATCTTCGATGAGCTCGCCGCCGTCGCCGCCGTCGCCGTCGTCCGCGTCCGCGGCTTTCTCGACTTTCAACCCCTTCGGCGCCTTGCCGACGACGAACCCCTCCACCTCCGACGCGGGTTTCCCCTTCAGATCCCTCGCGCTCTTCTTCGCGTCGACGCCCGCTCGCTGGTCCTCCGCCTCCGTCTCTCCGCCTTCGCCGCCGTCTCCCGCGGCGCGCGACGCCTTCAGCCGCGCCGCGCGGAGCTCCGGCTCGCGCGCGTTGGCCGCCTCGCGCCTCGGGTCCGCGACGAGTTTCTTCAGGCACAAGCCGACGGCTCTTCGCAACGCGTCCTTGACCTTGACCGCTTCGTTATATTTTAACGTCTTCGACGCGTGCGTTTTCTTCTCCTCGTCCGCGCCTCCCCCGCTCCCCGTCGGCGGCTCCAAGAACGGCTCCAAACGCGACATGTACCGCCGAATGTTCGGCACGAGAAGCATCCGAACGACCCTCGGGCCGAGCGCGTGCAGCCCGACGATGGCGCCGTAGTGCGTGCTCAGCGGCTTCGTTTCGTCGAGCAGCGCCTTCGATAACGTCCGCGTGATCCTCGGCTGAGGGTCGTTCCATACAAAGTGAAGTCGGGGTGGAGTTGAAAGGCGTCAGTTGGCGTTGAAAGGCATCGAGGTCGGGGATTGAAAGCGAGGGGTGGGCGGAGAGAATCGCCGGCAAAAGTGCTTAAGGAACGGCGTTCACCACGCCGACGCGGTCGTATGGGGACCAGTGTATAGAACGCGCCTGAATCGTCGGGTACTCGCGTCCAAACTTCTCGCACACGAAATTCATCGTCTCCGCCGCTTGCTCGCGCAGCGCCCAGTGGTTCTCGTCCGGCGACGCGCACAGCCGCTTCGCGACCATGCACGTCACGATGGACGGCATGAACTGATGCAGGTACAGCTCGACGTGCACGTTCGGGTTCGCCACGATCGCGAGCGTCGCGGCGGTGAGCGCGCGAAGCTTCGGGAGCTCCCTGAGGGTCGTTCCGTACGAGCGAACGTCGGGGTGGAGTTGAAAGGCGTTAGTTGGCGTTGAAAGGCGTCGAGGTGTGTCGGGATTGAAACCGAGGGGTGGGCGGAGAGATGCGCCGGGAGATAAAGTCCTTAAGGATCGGCGTCCACCTCGCCGACGCGGTCGTATGGGGATCAGTGTGAGATAGAACGCGCCTGAGCGACTTGGCCACCTCCGTCTGAACGAATTGCACGAGGTACGGCATGAGCTGGTGCAAGCCCGCGTCCGTCGCGAGAGACGCCAGCGCGGCTCGCAACATCGGCGCCTCTTCCCCGGCGCCGCCGCCTCGGATCACCGCGGTGACTCTGTCGAAGTACAGCTGGAGCTCCTTGCTGAGCTCGTGCGCGACCACGGGTTGGACCACCGCGGCGCCGTCCGCGCCCGCGCCGGTAACGCCGCCGTCCTCGCCGGCGCCGCCCGCAGCCTTGCGCTTCGCCCCCGCGGCGGCGGCGTTAGCGGCGGCGTGCGCGGCCGGCCCGCCGACGTCTTGCGGCGCGACGGGCGCGCGGAACATCGCTCGCGCGCGCTCGTCGACGTCGATATCCGCCTCGAGATCGGGTCGGAGATTTTCCCCCGGCCCCAGCGGCGGGTTCTCCGGGATCAGGGGCTGGACGCCGTCCACGGCGAGCCAGTGCGGGACGACGTTGACCGCGATCGGCGGGCGCGGGAGCTTCATCGCGAGGATGTCCTTCAGCTCGATCTCCTTGCTCGCCTGCGTGAAGAAATCGGGATGCCCCGGCACCTCTTTAAACGCGATGGCGGGCGCGTTCGCGGGGAATCCGTAGAGCGCCTCCACCTTCTTCATCTTCAGCGAGCTGTTCACGTCCTCCGTGGACAGCTGTACGCGCTTGCTGTGGCGCATGAACTTGCACGCGTCCTGGATGACCTCGCGCAGGCGGTACTCCACGTCCGGGGCGAGCGCGCGCGCGACCTCGTCGGGGAGATTGTCGAACCCGACCGTCTCCGCGATCGCGCTGACGGACGCCCCGGGGAGGTGGTCGTACTCCTCCGCGGCGGCGTCCGCGGGCATCGTGGGAGGCGCGCCCGGGGACCCGGGGATCGGATCGGGGGGGACGCGACCGGGACCCGTGCCGCGCGGGGGGAAGTGCGCGAGCGGTCCCGATGGGGGGGTCGGCTTACCGCGCGCGAAGCCCATAACCTTCCTGTCTGGTGTCACGTTTCGGCTTCACTGACAACAGAAATATTATTCCTTCCGTTATTACCGCGGCCTCACTCTTCGAGGCGCGGCGATACCGCGAGGCGCGCGCGCGATGACGGCGACATCGCGTCGATAGCGGTCGATACAACAAAACATGGACGTGCTTCGCGGCATCGCCGGTCGCGGTCGCGCGAGGAAGTTCCATCCGCGCGGATGGCAGAAACGGAAAAAGCGGTTCGTGCGTCAGAGTTGGCAGGCGGCATGCGAAAACGCCCCGTGCGGCGTCGACGGCGTCGGCGACGAGCTCCTGCGTCGCTTCTTCGCGTCGCACCCCGGGTTCGTACAGCTGTTCAACTTCCGCCGCGCGCGGCTGCTGAACAGCGCGGCGTGGCGGTTGCACGCGCGGTCAGTCGCGCGAGCCATCGACGACTTCGTCGTCGTCGCGACGGCGGGAGCGGATCCGTCGTCGTCGTCGTTCGATAACGGCGCGTGGCGGCGAACGAAGACCGCGCTCAGGGAGCTCGGCGGGAGGCACCTCGTCGCGTACAAGGTGACTCCCGCGCACTACGACGCGTTCGGGAGAGCGCTCCTCGCGACGGTCGAGGCGACGGCGCGCGGCGGCGGCGGCGGCGGCGACGGCGGCGGCGACGGCGGCGGCGGCGACGGCGGCGGCGATGGCGGGTTCGACCGAGAGACGCTGGCGGCGTGGACGGAGACGTGGGAGGGCATGCGCGAGCTCATGTTGCAGGGACCTAAGGTTAGCAAATGATAGTGAACGTGAGATAGAAGAAGTGTCACGCACTTAATGGTACTTAATCACCATGCGCGTTGCGATGTCCGGGTTCGAAGGTTGTTTTCGATTCGTTTCGACGTCTTTTTCGTTCGTCTCCGATCTACGATCGTCTCGGCGCCCGCGGCGGCGTCCTCCCTCTCCCTCTCCCCCCGAACGACCCGCCGCCGCTGTCGCTCGCGCTCCCGCCGGAAAAGAACCCCGCGTTGTTGCTCGGAACGCCGCCGAAGAACCCCGCGACCCCCTCCGACGACGGCGACGACCGGCCGCCTTTCGGCAGACCGAACCCGACGACGGGACCGTCGCGGGTCCCGACTCCGTTCGGAGAGACGGAGAACCCGTCCGCTCCCAGGCCGTTCGGCGGCGACGGCGAGTTTCTCATCCGCCCGCCGTTCGAGCCGTTCGAGGACCCGAACAGCGGCCGCGGGCCGAGGTTCGCTCGGGTCAACTTCCGCGGGCGCGGGTTCAGCGAGTTCGGGAGGCTCCCGATTCGACCGGCGCCGACGCTTCCCATGTGCGAGCTGCTGCGGCTGCCGCTGCGTCCGCGGCGTCCGATGCCGCCGCCGCTGCCGCGGCCGTCGGACTCGGACTCGCTCGAGGACGTGATGACCTCGTCGTCGTCGTCGTCGTCGTCGTCGTCGAGATCGCTGCCGCTGCCCTCGCGGTCGCCGTCGCCGGCGCCAGCGCCGGCGCCGGCGCCGGCGCGTCGCGCGCTGCCTCGCCACGTCACGTACGTCGACGGAAGCCTCAGGCGCCCGGCGCTTCGTCGGAGGAGGTACGGGTCGAACGGGAAGAACATCCGGAGCGGGCGGCGATGCCGCACCGCCTCCGCGACTTCGCTGCCGAGGACGACGGTGCTTTGCGTGCGCGCGAGCGCGGCGTTTCCGTTTCCATTTCCGCCGTTTCCGCCGTTTCCGCCGTTTCCGCCGCCGCCCGCCGTCGCGGCGTCTTTTTCCTTCCGCTCCCTCCGGTGCTTCTCCAAAAGCTGCTCGTCGAACCCGTCCACGCCCGCCTCCACGGCGCGGTGCAAAAACTCCGTCACCACGGACGGCAAGCACGTGTGCGTCGGGTTCAGCTTGCTGTATAAAATCTCCCTCAACGGCAGCGCGCGAAGCGTCGTCGCTGGCTCGTCGCCGACGTCGAGAATATCCGTCATGCGGTAACACAGGACGTACATCAGAGCCTGGCACGCGCTGTCGAAGACCGCGAGCGTCGCGCTCGACGCGTTCGCGAACTCTCGCTGTTCCGTGTCCGTGAGCGGAGCCGGCTTCGCGTCGTCGGGCGCGGCGTCTTCGCTCGCGCCTTCGACGTCGAACGAAGACCCGAACCCGCGGGATAACCCTCCCGACCCACCCTTGCCGCCGCCGCTCTCCGGGGACGTCACGCCGGTGACGCCCGCGCCGCGCGTCGCGCTCTCGACCGTCGCGACGCACCACGCGGTCAGCCTCCGCAGGACGCTCGACATAAACGCCGCCGAGAGAAACGTCGCGCGCGCTAAAAACGACGCCAGATACGCCGTCGCCGCCAACCGCCCCGCCGGCGGGTGGTGCGGGTCCGTCAAACGCTCCAGCAGAACCTCCACGACCCTCGACGCGAGCTCGCCGCCTTCGCCTTCATTCCCTTGGATCCCGGCCGCGTCGCGCGCGCACGCGTGGAAGAGAATAAACTGCGTGAACTTTGACTTGTGCGCCGGCAGAAGCGTGGACACGAACGTTCGAAGCAACGCGTCGCTCACCGCGGCGTCGTCCCCGCGGTCGATCCTCGCGTCCACGTGCGCGAGGGTGATCTCCATCATCGAATCGAGCGCGTCCGCGGTCTCGTCCACGGCGACGCCGCCGCCGCCGCCGGGGGACAGACGCCCGCTCCCGCTGGCGTGACGCGAGTGGTTGTTGTCCGGGTAGTAGCCTCCGTAGTTGGCGCCCCCGGGGTCGCCGCGCGCGGACATCCCTCCGCCGCCGTGCATGCCGTACCCGCGCTCCCACGCCGCGGCTTGACGCACGAGCTGCTCCTCGATCGTTTTTTCTATGTCTTCGAGCTCGAAGATCCCCGCGCCGTCTTTCCCGTCGGCGTCGTCGTCGTCGTCGTCGTCCGCGTCGTCGTCGGAGTCGTCGTCGCCGTCGTCGTCGCCGCCGTCGTCGCCGTCGTTCGGGCGCTCCGCGCGGATGTCCTCCCACTTGATGTCAACGTCGAGCTCTAGCATGTGAGCGACGACGGACTGTAACAACACATCGCGTAACGGCGCCCCCGAGGGCGTTTCTACTAACCGAAACGCCGCCCTGAGGTACTGACACTGCGTCGCCCGGTGCGACGACTTATGCGGCAACCGCTGCAATAGCGTCGGCCTCAGCACGCTCACCGCGAGCGGCACGAGGGTCAAGATCGACTCGACCGCGCCGACGATCGCGGCGGTCGTCTCCGACGCCGGTCGACTCCCCGCGCCGCCGGTCCCTTCCAGCGCCGCGCGCGCCGGCGGCGGCGTCGGCGACGACGCGCCGGCGCCCGCGCCCGCGCCGCCGCCGCGTCGTCCCATGTCCATGTCTTCCTCCAGCGCCTCCACGGGGTACCCCGCCGGCGGCGTGAAACTCTCCACGAGAACGTCCAACACCGTCTGCAACAGCGACCCCGCGTGCGTCACGACCAAGTTGACGCAGAACACGATCACGAGGCTCACGACGTCGTCGCGGCATCGCCACGGGTTCGCGCGCAGGACTTTTTGAAGGAGGTTCTCGTGCACGCGCACGTCGAGCGACGAGACGTGCTCCGCGAGCGCCTCGAGCATCATCGTCTTGTCCCGCGCGACGTCCGCCTCCTCGAGACCGTCGATCGCGTCCAGGAGCTCGTAGTACTGCGCGCGAGACCCGCGGCGCGCGCCGTCCAGGGCGTTCTTCACGAACGCGCGCATGAGCCCGCGCGCGGTCTCGGGGTCGATCTCGGCGGCGGCGACGTCGTCGTCGCTGTCGCCGTCGTCGTCGTCGCCGCCGCCGCCGCCGCCGCCGCCGCCGCCGTGTCTCGACTGCGACGCGACGGGGCGCGGCGCGCGCGCGCCCGCGCGCGTTCCCGCGAGCGCGGCGAGATCCATCGCGTCCTCGCGCCTTCGCCTCGCGCCGCCTTGTGCCGCCGGATCTTCGGCGACTCCGTTTTCTTCCTTTCGCGCGGAAAACTTACGCCGAACGTACACCTCCGCTCTGTTTGCGCGTACGAATTGCGACGCCGTACGCTGATTGGCCGAAGCAGCTCGCGGAAAACGGAAAGAGGACGTCATCGCTTTTTCCTGCTGTTGTGGGTAAGATAAAGGACGTCGCGCCATCTCGAGACGCGCCTCGCACGCGCCCTCGATCGCTCGAGCACTCGAGCTTCACGCTTCCTCCTCCGCACGACATCATGGTCGCGGGAACGACGATCGGCGCGTCCGCCGCGTCCGCGTCGCTCGCGTCGCGCGCGTCCGAATCGATGACGGCGCGGCGGGTCGCGCAGTCTCGCGTCGCCCCCGCCGCGGCGTCGCGCGCGAGGGCGCTCCGCGTCGTCGCGAAAGACTACCCGAAGCCGGATAAGATCTCGGACACGGACAACTACCGCGAGGGCGCCGCGCTGTCGCAAAAGTTCAAGGAGCTCAAGGGCATGGGGAAGAAGAAGAAGGTGGCCATCGTCGGCGGCGGCCTCTCCGGCCTCGCGTGCGCGAAATACCTCGTCGACGCTGGGCACGAGCCCATCGTCCTCGAGGGACGCGACGTCCTCGGCGGCAAGGTCAGCGCGTGGCAGGACAAGGACGGCGACTGGATCGAGACCGGCCTCCACATCTTCTTCGGCGCGTACCCGAACATGATGAACCTCTTCGCGGAGCTCGACATCGAGGATCGACTGCAGTGGAAAGTGCACAAGATGATCTTCGCGATGCAGGAGCTCCCCGGAGAGTTCACGACGTTCGACTTCATGAAGGGCATCCCCGCGCCGCTGAACTTTGGACTCGCGATCCTTCTCAACCAGAAGATGTTGTCGCTCCCGGAGAAGCTTCAGACCGCGCCGCCGCTCATCCCGATGCTCATCGAGGGCCAAGATTTCATCGACGCGCAAGACGAGCTCAGCGTCCTCGACTTCATGCGCAAGTACGGCATGCCCGAGCGCATCAACGAGGAGGTGTTCATCTCCATGGCGAAGGCGCTCGATTTCATCGACCCGGATAAGCTCTCGATGACCGTCGTCCTGACCGCGATGAACCGCTTCTTGAACGAGACGGACGGGCTTCAGATGGCGTTTCTCGACGGGAACCAGCCGGATCGCCTCTGCGCGCCGATGGCGGATCACGTCAAAGCCGGCGGCGGCGAGGTCCGCATGAAAGCCCGCCTCAAGGAGTTCGTCCTGAACGACGACGGCAGCGTGAAGTGCCTCAAGATGACGAACGGCGAAGAGATCGTCGCGGACGAGTACGTCAGCGCGGTGCCCGTGGACGTCATGAAGCGCCTCCTCCCGAAGAAGTGGTCCAACATGCCGTTCTTCCATCAGATTCAAAACCTCGAGGGCATCCCGGTGATCAACATCCACTTGTGGTTCGACCGCAAGCTCCAGAACGTGGACCACCTGTGCTTCTCGCGCTCGCCGCTGCTGTCCGTCTACGCGGACATGTCCACGACGTGCAAGGAGTACTACGACGAGGAGAAGTCGATGCTCGAGCTCGTCTTCGCGCCGTGCTCGCCCCTCGCCGGCGGCAACACGAACTGGATCGCGAAGAGCAACCAGGAGATCGTCGACGCGACGATGAAGGAGCTCGAGCGCCTCTTCCCGCTCGAGATCGGCCCGGGGAGCCCCGACGGCGTCGGCGCGAAGCTCCTGAAGCACGCGGTCGTGAAGACGCCCCGCAGCGTCTACGCCGCCATCCCGGGCCGGAACAAGTACCGCCCGAGTCAGGCCACGCCCATCAGCAACTTCACGCTCGCGGGGGACTGGACGTCGCAGAAGTTCTTGGGGAGCATGGAGGGCGCCGTGCTCGGAGGGAAGCTCGCCGCGGAGGTCGTGACGGACAAGGCGATCTACGGCGGGCCGACCAAGGGGATCAAAAAGATTGTCCCGGACGTCGTGAAGGAGGCGAACGCGATGGAGGCGAGAGAGCCGGAGGGTTCGAAGGGCGAGTCCGAGCTGTCGTACGGCGCCGGGTGCGTGATGGGCGAGGAGCAGGAGAAGGAGCTCGCGGTGTTCGACCCGGAGCAGATGGTGACGATGGACAACTACGTCGCGAGGGAGTCCATCCCGGTGTCGCGATAGACGACGCGCGGATACGAAAGAGGTGAAAATGTTTTAATTGAGTTCAGCAGAAATAGACCGACTCCTAATAGTACTGCTTGCGCGGGTTCCCGAGCGGGTTCGGGCGGTGGCGGTACCCTTGCATCATTCGCTTCTTGTACTGCTCGAAGATGTCCTCGCCCTCCTTCGGCGCGGCCGGGTCTGCGACGTCCGACCCGAGCCCGGGGTTGTCCGCGCCGCCGCCGTACCCCAACCCGCCGCCGCCGCCGCCGTGCCCCAACCCCGGCGTCTCTCCTCCCGCGCCCGCGCCCGAGGGCTTCGCCCACGTCTTCTGCACCGGCGTCGTCCCCGGCGCGGTCTCTACCGCGTGCCCGCCGCCGCTCCCTATGCGAGCGGCGATGTCGCGCGCGGCGGCGGCGGCGGCGTCCGCGGGCGCGATGAAGGCCCCAGGGGGCGCGAAGTCGCCCATGTGATGCCCCCTCGTGCCGTCGTATCGAATCCGCGCGTCGATGTCCTCGCGGCGTATCGGCCCTCGCGCGCCCGTCGCCGCGGCCGCGATCTCCGCGGGCGTCAGCCGCTCTGATGAAAACCCCCCGCTCGCGAGCGTTTTTTCTTTCGCCGCGGCCTGCCGCTCTTCGCGAAACTTATCCTCCCTCGCGGCTTGCTTCGCGAAAAATTCCATCGCTCGCAGCGGATCCGCGGCGGCGGCTTCCTTCGCGTACGCCGCGCCGCCGCTGTTGCCGCTGCCGCTGCCGACGTGCGGCGCGGTGCGCAGGGCGTCCACGGACGCGCCGGAGTCCACGAACCCGCTCCGCGCGGCGGCGGTGATCCCTCCCGCTTCCTTCGACGGGTCTCGGTAGTACCGCGCAAACTTTTTATCCCCGAAGCGTCCTCCTCGGCCTCTCGGCGGCGACGGCGAGCGCGATCGCTCGCGCCCGGGCGGCGCTCCGGGCGGCGGCGCAAGCGGCGGCAGCATCGACGCGGGCGCGGGCGCGTCCCATCCGCTGGGTTTGCTACCCGGCGGCGGCGGCGGCGGCGGCGGCGGCGGCGGCGGCGGCGGAGGCCGCCGCCGCGGAGGCGCTGCGGGCGG